CCTGTAGTCCCAGCTACTCAGGAGGCTGAGGCAGGAGAATGGCATAAACCCGGGAGGCGGAGCTTGCAGTGAGCTGAGATCCGGCCACCCCACTCCAGCCCGGGCGACAGGTGAGACTCCTGCGCACGTGGGGCCTCTTCCAAATCTTTGGATGGAGGTACACGGGGGCGAATGCACTCTGGGATTGGGGAGGGAGGGCCAGGGTATGGAGGGCGGAGCCAGGTGTCAGGAGCCCCCTGTGACTGGATTCTGGCGATGCTGCTGGAGCCAGCAGGGTTCAGGGTGTGAAGTAGGGATGGAAGTCCAGGGGCTCCTCAGGACAACCACTGACAGGGAAGCCAGGGACTTAGGGTCCTTCCCTCTCCAAGGAGAGGCCGGGAAAGGCCAGGGTTCCGGCATTAGCCCCATTTGAGGGACTGTTGCCTTGGTGGGTGGTGCTGCCTCAGCGCAGGGAGACCTCTGCTCCCATTTCCACAGCTGGGTCAGGCCGTTTTGGGTACATAATCTCCAGGCCCCTGGGAGGCTCAGGAGCCAGGAACTGGGCAGTCCTTCCCAGAATCCTGGCAGGGTCTGGGAGCACCCCACCATTAGGACAAGCTCCAAGGGACAGCTCAATGAGAAACCCCAGGCAGTGGGACGTCCCCCTCTCATGGTGACCTCCGGGTGAAATAGGGCCCCTCCCTTCAGGGTCCAAGGCTGGAATTGCCAGGTCTGCACTCGGAAGCCTAGGTCCACTCCTGCTGCGGGGCCCTTCCCTGAGCCTGGGCCATCCCCAGCACCAGCCTCACCCCTGCCCCGTTGTAGCGAGCACTGCTCCCTGCACTCCTTAGCTGTACCTTGCTAGGGTCATTTCTCTGCTTCCTCCTCCATCTGCTGCCCCACCCCTACTACCCAGGTTCCAGCCTCCTCCACTGCTCACCTGGCTTTACTCCCACCCTAGTCTCTGCTTTTACGGGCATCCAAAAAGGTCTTTTTAAAAATATTATTAAGGCCGGGCACGGTGGCTCACACCTGTAATCCTAGCACTTTGGAGGCCGAAGCGGGTGGGTTGCCTGAGCCAAGAGTTTGAGACCAGCCTGCCCAACGTGGTAAAACCCCATCTCTACAAAAAGATACAAAAAATTAGCCGGGACTGGTGGCAGGCACCTGTAATCACAGCTACTCAGGAGGCTGAGGCAGGAGAAATCACTTGAACCAGAGAGGCAGAGGTTGCAGTGAGCTGAGATCGTGCCACTGCACTCCAGTCTGGGTAGCAAGAGCAAAAGTCCATCTCAAAAAGAAGAAAAAAAACAAAATAAATAAAAAGCATCTTGGATCCCTCTCCATCTCAGTACCTTCTGTGGCTCCCTGGCTCCCCTGACAACCCACATTGCTTCCCCTCCAGGGACTCTGCCTTCCTGCAGGTCTTGGCTCCCAATCTGAGGGAGGCCTCCCCCAGTCACCCCAACTGTCTTCTGTGCTATACCCTCCTGTTTATCCTCCCAGAACTAAGGAGGTCACAGAGCAGGTGCTCCCCACACCAAAGCCAGTTGGTGGGTTGCTGACCCCAAGCCCAGGGTGGGAGCGGCAGACCATCTTCTGGGTGCCTACATTGGCGGGCAAAGACCCTGAGGCCCGGGAGACAGCGTACGGAGTAGGGCCAGGAGGGCAGAGAGGCGGGGAGGGGTGGGTGATGGCCTGTCCTTAGCCCCATATTCCAGGCCAGAGCCTGTCAGGGGAGGGCAGGCCCACCCCCAAAGGACCTAGTTCAGTGAACACATGGCCCTGCGGTCACTGCCCACAAGCCCTGAGCACATCTGCCCAGTAAGGCAGGGGTTGGCTGTGAACGGCAGAAAAACAAGCCTGAGGAGTGACTGCCCAAGTTGCTCAGGGCATTATGGCGGAGCCATGACTCCTGCAGGGAAACCCAGAGGCGTACACCACCCCCAAGCTGGACTCACTTCCTGCATCCACTTGTAAAGCCCAGGAACTACGAATCCTGTCCTTGCAAGACCAGGCACCAAGCCACCCCAAAGACAGAGCTCTGATTACGCAAGCTCCATTTCAAATCAGCTTCTCTGCTGTTCTTTTTACAGGCAGGATTTCTGCTGCTCAGGCTGGAGTGCAGTGGCACTATCATGGCCCACTGTTAACTTCAACCTCCTGGGCAAGTGATCATCTCAACTTCTCATAGCAGGGACTACAGGTGCACACCACGCCTGGATAGTTTGTTTTTTAGAGATGGGATCTTGCTATTTGCCCAGGCTGGTCTCAAACTCCTGGCCTCAAGTGATCCTCCCTCCTCGGCTTCCCAAAGTGCAGGGATCATGGGCACGAACTACTGTGCCCGGCCCATTCACATTTTTCTGGGGTGTACTCAGGAGCTAGGATACCGCTTAAGGCCCACAGGAAGGGGCCCCAGGCAGCTGTGATGCCCAGACTCCCCTCCTCATGCTCATTTTGCACCAGAAACTCTTCCCCAACACCATGTTGTCCACACTTCAGCCCCAAACCTGCCCTCTTTGATGCGAAGCTGGGCAGAGACTACCATCTGACAAAGTGCTCATGGAATACTTGAGGTATGTGTAAAAGGCTTTATTTGCAGGGGAGCAGGAATTTAATCAAAGAGGCCAAATCCCATGTCATCGTCTGACTCTTCAGACTCCTCCTTCTTCTCATCTTTCTTCTCCTCTGCTGTGGAAAAGAGGAGAGGCGTGGTGAGCACTGCCCAAGTGCCAGGCCAGTCCCCCCATGGAGACCCCACTGCAGCAACACTGTCTGAGCCCCAGCCCCTTGCCCACTCACCAGGCCACCACTTACCTGCAGCAGGCGCGGAACCAGCAGCAGGTGCTGCAGAGCCTGGGGCAGCGGAGACGGCCACAGCCCCACCGGCAGGTACACTGGCAAGCTTGCCAATACCTACAGAAAGCAGAGAGGTGAGACCAGAGCAGCTGCCCAGTCTGGGAGGCTATTCCACAGGGAAGTCAGATGGCACCGGGATGGCACAGGGCACCCAACATATATGGACCCACCATATGCCAATGTCTCCCGTTCTTCCAGAACACTCCCTCCCCCAGCCACTCCTCAACAGGGACTTTTCCTATCCAGAAACTTGCCTTCTAGGAATTAGGCCCACATTGCCTGCCTGCCCACTTACCCCACCTCCACCCTCAGATGTCCATTGGACAAACATGAGTTTTTTGTTTTTTTTTTTTTTTTTTTTTTTTTTTTGAGATGGAGTCTTGCTCTGTTGCCCAGACTGGAGTTCAGTGGCGCAATCTCGGCTCACTGCAAGCTCCACCTTCCAGGTTCACGCCATTCTCCTGCCTCAGTCTGCCAAGTAGCTGGGACTACAGGTGCCCACCATCACACCCAGCTAATTTTTCATATCTTTAGTAGAGATGGCGTTTCACTGTGTTAGCCAAGATGGTCTCGATCTCCTGACCTTGTGATTCGCCCGCCTCGGCCTCCCAAAGTGGTGGGATTACAGGCGTGAGCCACCGTGCTCGGCCTGGACAATGAGCATGCTGCTCCAGTGTCCACATCTCTGGCCACAGCCATGTGCTCATGGCTTGGCCCGTTTGCTGAGCCGGCCCTGTCCTGGTCACATGCATGGAAGACAGGAACAGCTGCCCCAACAGCTCAACTTCCAAACAACTCCCACCAGCTCAGCTGACACCAACAAAAAACCATCTGCCCAACAAAGAGGCAAGGAGCCTGTGAACATTCCTGGCACCGGTAGTCCCTGCCCCCAGCTCCTTCACAGAAAGCATGCGGTAAGAACTGCTGACATGAACTCAGTTCTCCAGACACCAAGCTTCAGAGAAATTCTGGGGAATGGCCTCAGGGCTAGGGGCAGCCAGGCTTAAGAGGCAGGGCCACTGGGAGCACAGGGCGCCCCCTGCTGCCCTGCTCCTGGGGGTGTCTAGAAGCGCCCATGACATGAGCCCACTGGAGCCCTGCTCACTCCTCGGGTGAGGCTTCTAGGGTGCTCTGGTCCACAAGCGAAACCTGGCAGGCCACAGACGGACCGGCAGGGATTAGGATGGACCATGAAAACAAATGAAAGCCCCTCCACATCAACTCACCCTGGGCAATGACGTCTTCAATGTTTTTTCCATTCAGCTCACTAATAACCTGGAGCAGACAATCACACAGCTGTTACCAGGAAAGTGCAAATGTATCCCTGGCCCTATCCCTTCCAGAATCACAGCAGGACTGGGTCCCCCACACAGGAATACGCCCTGAAGTTTCCAGACCTGCACTGCCCAAAGGGAGCCACCACCCTCACTTGGTAAGCGATATAAAAATAAATGGACACTAGGTTTCTCAGACTTAGGACTGAAAAGGGAACACACGGTGTCTCACCGCTTAATGTTGACTACTCACAGGTATCTTCAACACGGGCAAAATAAGCTGTCAATGAAACTGACTTTGACTTCAGGCTGGAGTGCAGTGGTGGGATCTCACTGCAGCCTTGACCTCCCAGGCTCAAGAGACTCTCCCACCTCAGTCTGGGACAACAGGTGTAAACACCCACACCTGGCTGATTTTTTTTATTGTATTTTAGAGACAGGGCTTGGCTCTGTGGGACTGCAGTGGCACAATCACTACTCCATGCAGCCTTGACTTCCCAGGCTCAAATGAGCCTCCCGCCTCAGCCTCCTGAGTAGCTGAGACTACAGATGTGCACCACTGCCTACAACTTTTTTTTTTTTTTAACTTTTTCTGGAGACCAGGTTTTATGATGTTTTCCAGGCTAGTCTTGAACTCCGAGGCTCCAATAATCCACCCGCCTTGGCCTCCCAAAGTGCTGGGTGAGCCACTCGCCAGGACTGCCTTTTTTGTTTGTTTTTTAAGGAATCTTATGCATCTCACTTGTATTAAACTTCCAAAGCTCATTAACCACGACTTTGCCTCGTATCCCTCCAGCTTTTCATTTTTTCCTTTTGAGACAGGGTCTCGTTCTGTCGCCCAGTCTGCAGTGCAGTGGCACGATCTTGGCTCAGTGCAACCTCCATCTCCCAGGTTCAAGCGATTCTCCTGCCTCAGCCTCCCAAGTAGCAGGGACTACAGGCACCCACCACCACGCCCGGCTAATTTTTGTATTTTTAGTAGAGATAGGGCTTCGACATGTTTGCCAGGCTGGTTTCGAACTCCTGACCTCAGGTGATCCGCTCGCCTCGTACTCCCAAAGTACTGGGACTACAGGCGTGAACCACTGCACCTGGCCCCCACCCTGCTTACTTCTCTACCCGAGACATCGCCAACTGGACTGAAACAAGCCTCTCCCCGAACCCTCCAGCATGTGGCCGGATCAGGCAGAAAAATCGCCTGTACGGGGCTCTACGGCGGCTGCGGGGCAAGGGCGGCAGCTACCTTGTTGAGTCGGTCGTCGTCCGCCTCGATGCCCACGCTGTCCAAGATCTTCTTGATGTCCTTGGCGCTGGGGGAGGAGTTACCCCCGAGGGCAGCCAGCAGGTAGGAGGCGACGTAGCGCATCCTGAGGCGGGCGGAGAGGGCGCGACGGCGGCGTTACCCCGGTGGCCTCCGGCCTGCCCACCCCGGGGCCGCCGGACGAGGCCGCGTGTGGCTCGACCAGTAGGCCTCCGTCCCGGAAAGACCCCGCCGCCCACCTCGCATCCCCGCGGACCCCGCGTCCCCAGCCCGCACCCCGGGCCGGGTCACCACACTCACGCGGCGGCGTCTGCGGCGGCGGCGGAGAGGCCTCACGCGTGCGACCTCGGCGGTGTCAGGGAGGAAAAGGAAGGCGCCGATGCAAGGGGCGGGGGTAAACCGCTACCCAGAAGCCTCCGGGACCCGAGGGGGGCGCCGCATGAGGCGCCTCAGAATGGCGTCACGAGGCGCTCAGCCAATGACGATGGAGGAGAAGCCATTGACCCTTCCCCCCCGGTCCCGTCAAGACAGTTTCCGCGGCACAGGCGAAGGCCAGTAGTTCCGGAAGTGGCTGCTCTTATAGCGTGGGGCGAAGGTCCCCCGAAACTCGTGGTGGCGACGGACGAAGCGAGCCCAAAGGGACGGCATCTGCCTTCGGTACCTAGCGCTCCCAGCATGCCACGCGGCGCCTACAGCGCCCAACATGCAGCGCGGCTGCCACGCCCCGGACGCAACCTTCGCCCGCGAACTGCAAGTCCCATGGTGCACCGCTGCCGGAAGTGGCCTGCGCCGCCGGCCTACGCGGAACGGCACGTGGGCCCGAGCGGGGGATGCTCGCGGTAGGCTCCCCCTGACTCTTTGGTGGTTCCCTGGCCGCGACGACCGCTGGCCCCATGTCCAGCTGGGCTCAGTGAGGTGAGCCAGCCGCTTCGGACTTAGCGACTGCAGCCCTACCTGGGAGGCCACCCCCGTCCTGCGGGGCCAGGGCGTCCTGCCAGAGGACGAGCGCGAGTCTTGGAGGGCAGGACCATGACGTGAGGCAGCGTCGCCCACTCACCCCTGGGAGGAGTGAGGTCCGAGCGGTCAGCCCCTGCGCTGGCCACTTCGGCCCAGAACTGACCTTGGTGTCCATGTGGACATAGCACATCAGGGGACCCTGCCACATTCTCGGGTCCTGGGAGGGAACAGGGTTGGCCCTGCCTCCTAAGGACTTCAGTTCTTCTGCGAGGACGCAGGAGGTGAATAAGGGGGCGATCCGAGGGATAGGGACAGAGCGCGAGTTGGTCTGGGCAGCCTGAGAAAGTCTAAGCTGAGAGATAAGGAGCCAACCCTGTCAATATCCGGGGCTAGCACCAGGAACAGGGGGTCAGATGCAAGTACCTAAGGTGCTAGCAGGCAGCGCCTGCTCCCGTGGGGCTCAAACATCAAGCATTGGAACTCGACTTCACCGTCGCCTTCTGTGGCCTCGGTGTCATTACCCCCATTTTTATAGATGAGGCGGTTGGGTACAGAAAGGTTTTCTTGCTCGAGGTCACACATCTGGGATAAAGGCGGGAAAACATCTTGCGAACCATGTGACTTTTTTTATTTTGTAATTTTTTTTTTTTTTTTTTTTTGAGACAGTCTCGCTCTGTCACCCAGGCTGGAGTGCCGTGGCCGGATCTCAGCTCACTGCAAGCTCCGCCTCCCAGGTTTACGCCATTCTCCTGCCTCAGCCTCCCGAGTACCTGGGACTACTTTTGCTGGGACTACAGGCGCCTGCCACCTCGCCCGGCTAGTTTTTTGTATTTTTTAGTAGAGACGGGGTTTCACCGGGTTAGCCAGGATGGTCTCGATCTCCTGACCTCGTGATCCGCCCGTCTCGGCCTCCCAAAGTGCTGGGATTACAGGCTTGAGCCACCGCGCCCGGCCTATTTTGTAATTTTTGAGACTGGGCCCCATTCTGTCGCCCAGCCTGGAGTGCAGTGGCTGGATCACAGCCCACTACAGCCTCAAATTCCTGGGATCAGGTGATCCTCCCACCTCAGCCTCTTAGCTGAGACCACAGGCCTGTGCCACCACACCTGGCTAAAATTTTTTGGTAGAGACAGTGTTGTTGAGACATGGGCTCAAGCGATCGTCCCACCTGGACCTCCCAAAGTGCTGGGATTACAGGTGTAATCCCAGAGTCACCATGCCTGGCCAGGATTATGGTTTCATTCAATGTTTTAAGCAAGTCCCTTCACATTGGTGTGCAACCATCACCACTATCCATCCCAACCTTTTTTTTGTTTGTTTGTTTTTTTGTTTTGGTTTTTTTTTTTTTTTTGAGACGGGGTCTTGCTCTGTCAACCCAGGCTGAAGTGCAGTGGGCGATTCAGCTCACTGCAAGCTGTCCAACCTCCCGGGTTCACGCCATTCTCCTTGCCTCAGCCTCCCGAGTAGCTGGGACTACAGGCGCGCCGCCAC